GGTTTCAAAGGAAAGAAACGTCTGATTATAAATAGTCATTCAATTACAGTTTGCCTTCATCGTGCTATGATGCATTGAAGGTAATGCAAAGTTTTGTGGTTTCTTTAATTGCAGTTTGATGAAGGAAATAGTATCCTTTTTTAGTTTTTAAATACTTCAATTCTTGCATGATACCTTGTAACTGTTGATCAATCACAGTTTTGTAATGCTCATAAAGCTTGGGAGTATTCTTAAATTGGTGCCATAGTGACTCGAATCACTTTATGTGCTACTTCAAATTTGTCCCTGTATGCTTATTCCACAGCAAACAAGTACTATATCTGTTATTCTAAAACTTTTATGATTCTGGAAGTTTTTTGAGCCGTAACTGTCATCAGATTTATCAGAAATTCCAAAAACTTTCAATTGCCATAAATTTTTCATCAGTTCAGATATTGAATCAACTTCTAAATTATTTTTAACTTGTATCATTCTGCAGGATATTAAATGTTTCTGATGCATATATATAACGTGTTTTCTGTTCCACTCACTTATTACCTCAATATAGTTTCTACCTCTACTAAAGATTCAGAAATTCGGCAGGTCCTTCCTATAAAGCATCCGCAAACAAATCTAATTTTTAATGATTTTTCTTTACAAAATTGTATGCAATGCACTGTATATATATGTAACTAAGAAAATAAAACCATTATGTTTAAACATAGATCACTAAAAAGGAAATAAAACTTAACTTTCTTTAGGATAACGAGTATTTTTAGTTTACCATATTTCATATATGTATTTTATTTGCATAAACCAGCAAGGTATGGGTAGATTAAGTAAAATATATGTTCAAAATCACTTAAGTTTTAAAGATATAGGCTCATGAAGAAAATAAATTTCCAGACCCAACTTTTAATAGCAGCTTACTGTACATGCGGTACCTAAAAAATTCGATTTTACTACACTTTTTCAAGATAGATTTTTACTAACTTAACCTTTTGAAGACCGGATGGCCATTATAGTGGCCATAGAGACTCTTTGAAAAGACGGGGTTGTCCACTTTAGTGACCATGTCTTTTTTCCCCATTTTTCAGGCTGGAAAATGGGATGAAATGTCAAATTTGACGTCCCTGGTGTTTTAACCACTTATCTCTTTCAAAGGTCTTCCTTTTGTGACATAGATGCACCCCTCTGAGAATCCATTAAGCTACACATAAGAATCTTTTTTGCAAATAGGAGGTGATTTCTTAAAGGGGGGAAGCATTCTGTTCAATATTCCTCGTCCTTTGGTAGCTTTTACTGCTACCAAAGCCCCAGCCTCAAAAGGTTAAAATGCAATTTAATTATTTTGTCTATTGCCATGTACAAGCTGTGTATTATTTGTTCATTAATATTAAAAAGTTGTTTTTAAAATGCACAGTATGGCTGATAATTTGATTTTACTTTCGTATTTTTTGGGCCAGGAAAATTTATTATGAAATAATAACATGGCTTACTTTTTGCTAATCTATCAATCGCTTGCTGAGCATACCTCGTACTGAAATATAGATATAATGTTTAGCTACCTATGTAAAAATCAACAACAATAATTATTTAAAGAGCCCAAAAACTCATGTCAAAAGGAAAAAAAAAAAAAGAAACCTGGATAATTATTAACAATATTTATTAATTCAAAGTAGCTACAGATAAAGACAAATTTAGAATTTACTTTGTTGCCTTAATATCAAAGGGAAGACTGAGTTTGCATGTCCCTAACCAAGAAATCATAATTAGGTGTATATCCTGACAAGGATAATGTATCAATCAGTATGGGAATCAGTCAGGACAGAATGTTGTTCAGTTTCAAGTATAAAAATGCCGATTCGCATAGATATGTAGATCCAAAACAAAAATAGATAATCGCTACATTTGGTGATACTGAGGTATTTTTCTCGGTTGACATATTTCCAAAAATCATCTTCAAATTTTCGGGTTTGTAAGATTAAGTCAGTTTGTAAAAGTATAATTTCATTTTCTAATGCCTTTTAATTCCACATGAAATATGCCTGAAATTTTTTGGCTAATGCGTTTCATACTTAAATCTTTTTTAAAAGAAAAAGATATGAATTCCAGAATTTCTTTAATTTTTCTAAAATTGTGAAATTCTATCAAATTGAATTAACAGTTTTAAATGCTATGTTCATTACATCTTTTGTGTTTAGTCTCTTGGTAGCTAACACTTGCTGGTGAATAATGCAGCGATAGCTTAAAAAGGCAGGGAATTCATCTTCCTTTTGACGTAGGGATATAAATCCATTTATGCTACCTATTATTGCAGCTGCACCATCCATTGTTATTGAGACTAATTTAAAAAATGGTACTTTCAAATCATTCAGCAAGTTTTAAAAGGCTTTGAATATGTTTACACATCTATTCTTTTCTTTTAAAGAAATCATACCAAACAATTCATTAGACGTAAAATCCTTAAAAACCATACGAATAAAAACAAGTAAATGTGCTGTATAACTTATATCTGTCGATTCGTCACACTGAAGGGAAAAACAAGAGCATCTATTAATATCATTATATAACTGCTCTTTTACTACATCCCCACTCATCCTTTCAATTCGTCACATCACTGTGTTTCGAGACAACTGTAGATCTTAAATCACAGCAAGTTTCACTCTTGTTCTTAAAATCATTGAAAAGTGAATTTGATAGATCTAAAAAATTTCCTTTACAAATTCACTGTCGGAAAATAGCTTACATTATTTTGCTAAGAGATAGCTTCCCTAAATTTGTTTCAGTTCAGGTGGATAATCCATTTGATACTTATTATGTAAAGCTAAAAAATGTCTCTGCATACTAGGCATATTAAATAACAACATTTATCGTTCAACATTGTAAAAAGTAATTGAGTACCCATTCTTCATTGAAGTGATAAGTTTTTGATTTCTTCTGTTTATTACTATGTTCATAGGTATACTAGAATGCAAAGAAATATGACAATTTAAAGAATAAATGTTGAATTAAATATTTTTCTAGAAAATTCAAAACTCGTGAACTGCGGCTATTATCTCTATTACATTGAGAGAAATGAATGATAACAATACTGCATACTATCGGACACAGCAATACAAGTGTATTAAAATCTAATAAAGAAATATTCAAATTTACAAGAAGTACGTTAAAGTTACAATATATTTATTACGGTTTAAGTACCGAAATCTTAATTCAAATAGAATTGTTATTCCTAATATATTTGTAATACTGTCCCTTATTTTTCTCTCAGTGTAATAACTGCAGTTTAGAGCTTTGTTGCCGAGGATGCTCACTTATCAAGTAAATAGATATGTAAAAAAAAAAGCAATTTAATTTAAAACAAAAAAGAGGTACTTACATTTTAAACAGAAGAAAAATTGAAACCTAAAGTGATCACTGAGGTTAAATAATATTGATGAATAATAATACTATTAACACAAAAGAAAAGCTACTGTATGACACTACCAAATATTCAAGCTAACTGACTGTGTTCTTCGATGAGTCAAGCCCTAATAGTTGCGTTCACGTATTGCTTTCGGTGACAAGTGTAAAACACAAGTCAGAATGCATCGTGCTGGATGGCCGGAGATCACAGTGTCAGGAATTTATTACCTCGGCAAGTTCCCAGAATGCATTAAACTATTGCTAAAAGATTTTGTCTTCTACAATCACTTCAAAGTCCATTGTATGTGGAATTCCACTCCAGTCATTGTGAGTGATCGACGATCCACCAAAATTAGTTCACGATTTACTTGTTGTCCAACCCTGCCATATAGAATCATGGGTGAACATCATACAAAGGAAGTGCTTGACCTTGGTTTCACTCAGATTCGGCATAATTATAGAGAAACTTATGGAATAAATACATATGTAAAGGGCAAGCTTGCATTTTTCAAAAATTAAGTGAGAAAATAAAGGATGATGTTCTATATAACTTTTGTATTAATTCCTTCTTTCATAACAAGTTCAGAGATGGTTAATGTTCAGAACTACTAACCAAAACTTGTCATTTCAAATCATCTAGCTACTTTAAGGACTGCCCTCATCTATTACCTTTAATTTCTTTTAACTTTAGTTTGAAAGAATTATGAAAAATAGTTTTTAATAAAATAGCAGAAAAATATGCTATATAAAACTTTTATTAAAAAAAGTCATAATTTATTTTGTCTGGTTTTCCATTAATTTGTTTACAGCTGATAAATGATATTTTCAAAATATAAAGTATTGGCATAACAAATGAAGTGAATAAACAATGGTTAAATTTGATTTAGATTTTTATTTATAATATGCATTTGCAAAAATTAAGAATACAGTAGAAGAAAAAGTCCACTGTATTCATTATGTATAACTACATATACATTTAATATAACAGATATTATGTGGGAGAGAATGTTTTATGAAGGTTAAAGAAAGTGCTTTTACCTGGGAATTTTTAAGATTTGTTGTTCTGAAGAAAATATGAATTGTTATAAATGATGATTGCTTATTCAGTTTACCCAAAGCCAGTATTTTATATGTAGACATTTCAGTATTTTTTATTAATTTTACACTTGCATATGCAGTACATACCGCACAAGATTGTTAGTTATAAATTAACCACTTGTGCTACGACTAAACTTCACGGTTGCGGTGCTGTGCACTACAATATAACAAGCAGTAAATTGTCTCATTTACGCCGCTCTGCGTCTGCGAGTGCAATCCAGAGCTGTATTTCGAGAAATAAACAATCTCGTTGTTAGGCGACGTGTGCACCACGTTATTTTAATTTTTGCACGTGGTTTGAGACAAAAGTATTTCGACATGTGTGGCACGTCTTTTGTAGCGCAAGTGGTTAAGCATACTAGTAAGGAAGGATTTGTCATAGATTAGGATTTCTTAAACAAAAAGAAACAAAAATTTGTTTTTCATGTTATTACTTGCTTCTTTCTCAATTTTTTTATGATTAATATTTTCATGCTACAATTTTCCATTTTATGATTTTTTTTTCCCCTTTACAGAAAGAATGTTCCTGACTTTAGTGCATCAAGGAAGAAAAATGATTTGGGTTTTGTTACTTTTGATTTAAATGCAGATATCCTTTTCATTTATTATAACTTTTTATATTTAGCTTTAAAAATAGTGTTGTATATTGTATAGTGAAGTGCAGAAAATGTTGCTAATCTTTTGTTAAAGATTTGGTTGATAATTCTTTAAAAACTAAGAGTGCTTACATTAAGCTATGTCATCTAATTATCCTATCAGATCTGTAGTATTCTTTTCAGAATGAACTCTGTTTGTAGTTTTTTTACAAATATTTTGGTCGTCTTCGGGGATTGAACTGAATAAAATAGTTCAACTCTAATTCAAAATGATAAGAGCCACTTTTCCTTAGAAAATCCTCCATGAAGGCATTATTTTTTAGCCAGATAATTCTCATACATTTTACTGTAGTTCAAATACACTAGGCAGTGCTTGATGTGAATGCTTGTCCAGGGCTATTTTGATAACATTAAATGATGAAAAATATTCTTCTAACTGTCAATGAAACCTAACAGTACTCCAATCTAATTTTTTCAATAATTCATTTTTAAATCTATAATTATTTTATTTCTGTAATAATTTTTGCATGTGTTGATAGTATTTTAAAATAAAAACAAAATTGTCTTTGTTTTTATTTTGCGCCAACATAGCTAAGGAAAGTGATGTTTTGGTTCAAAAATTCGATAGCGAGTTTTCAGTTAATAAACTTAAATTAGGGCTCCCATAACATATTTTTATAATGATATCTGTCTGTATGTGTTTGATGATTTTTTTTGTCCACAATAACTCTTGCATCAAACTTCCAAAAATGTCAGTTTTCTGCATTTAAGCTTTCTGTATTCATAGAAAGAGTTGATTAATATTATGTAAATCTGGATAACCAGAAGTGGTACTCTATTTGAAGCTCATAACAGTTTTTAATGGAAAGCTATTAAATTATAATGCAAAACTTTGGTATTTAAGACTTCTGTGTTAATGGGAAAAACATGTTAGATTTTATCTAAATTTGATAAACCAGAAATGATTCAAAATTCATTAGAATGTAAGCCAGAAATATTTTTTGTGTAATCACAAGCATAAATAAGTAGCATGGGATGCCATCTTTTGGCACATAGCAGAAATTTCTGGATAAAAATATAGTCTTTCATCAATATCAGCAGTTTCTTGGTGTGATACCGTGGACAGAGTGCTATAACTTTGCCTATTTGTCTGTTTTGCGCAATAGAATTTCACTGTCATTTGTGCAATGGCTGCTAAGTTATTTTCTCAATATTTCAGGCCTGTGAGTGTTATTTTATATGAATTCTATTTACCCATTTTCATCTGTTATAATATGTTCTCTGTGAGTGAAGGTCAATCCTTATGATTGAAAGATTTTTCAAATTTCTGTAGCAAGAGGGTTAATACCTGTAAAAAACTTAGATGAAAAGTGGAGATGTCAACAGTCATGCCAGAAAATATAGACATTTTGTTCTGTCTAAGATTCTCAAAGTAGTGAATATGCCAATATATGGGACATTTTCACGATGTGCATTACAAAAGCTGAAGCTCCATCTCAAACAATGACAGTGCAGTTTGCAATATTGAACTGTGCTTGGATGATGAGAACTGTTTTCTACAGTATCATCAAAAATAAATTAACATATAATCTGGGTGATATTGTAGTGTGCCCACTAGATTTTCTATAGTAATTTTTAAAAAATTCAGTAAAAATTTGTTATTTATGTTAATTATTACCAAAATGTTAACCATGTGATAAGCAAATAAATTTTACTGATTACTTTGGGGGGGTAGCCAAAGGGTTAAAAGCAATGTTTTGCTACTGCCTGAAATAAAATACTTTTGTCTTCCACACATGCGCACGTGGTCATTTAGTAAAGCACAAGATATTTAGTGTTCAAGTTTAATATGACTGTTATTGATTAACACAGGGTTCGTACGGTCCTTAAAAGTCCTTAAATTTTTTGGAATCGATTTTTGGTCCTTAAAAGTCCTTAATTTGGGCCAAAATCAGCTGAAGGTCCTTAATTTTAATCATCTGAAATTTGTCTGTTTTTATGACTGCCATTTTGAGTGTGAATTAGCATTTTGGAGGAATATTTTGGCGATTCACTGACATATATGGTTATCTTTTGAATGGGTTATAATTTGTTTCTATTTCTAATATAAATGATGGGATACTCGAGTTTCTAAGCAAGAAGTGAAACATAAGCATTTCGAAATTCATTTTTTCTAATAAAGAAATCTTAAACAACTTTTTGCTTTTGGAGATGTGAATTCTTTTATTAAACGGTTCTAAATTTGGCAACTTGTCAACATTTTGGCGATTTTAAGATCAGTTTCTGTACAAAATTTTTAATTCCGAGATCTGAAAATTGTTTGACGATTTTTTTTAAAACATCACAACATTTATAAATTTCATTAAAATAATGGTAATATATTGAAATTATATTTAAAAAATAACATTAAAATAAAACATCTCTATTTTTCGCTGTCATATTATAAAGTTTCATTTTGGCAACTTATTATACAATATTATGAATCTGATAAATAAGACATAATGCTATAAAGCGTAATTTATGAAACAGCTCTTAACAAGAGCAAAATTAGCTATGTAATTAATTAAAAATGTCTTTTTAATGTTTTCATAGTAAGCGTTTTCCCCGTCTCGGAATATGCATCAATTTTCTCTATAAAATTAACTTTACACTTTTTCCCTCCCTTTTTTTTTTTTTTTTTTTTTTTTTTTTTTTTTTTTTCCAAAATATTTCTTTTTGCTGTTACAGAATTGGTAGGGATAATTTTTCTCTAGTATTTTAGACATTGCAACTTGGAAAGTTTAGAAGGATTTGAAGGCAAGATTTATAGACCCACGATTCTAGAAATTCGAGAAATATGTGACAAAATGAAAAATGTCTCCATGGTATCAACACGTAATGGATGTATTTTACAGAAAGTTTGCGATGAATTTACCTTTTGGAGAATGCCTGGAAGAACAATGAAAACATAATATTTGAATGTTTTACTTCTGATACTAGAATCTTTTTCCTAACATGTTTATCTTCCCTTTATTTTCCCTACTTCTCACTAGACACAAGTATGGAAAATATCAAAACTGCTTCTAATTTTATCACATGGCCAGATATTATAGAAAGGAATTTTTTTATTAATAAAGAAATTGAAAATTTACAATTTAAAAGATTCATTCTAATATGTCTTAATGCATCAACACATAGCTGGCACTAGGCATTTCCCACCTGATGCAATCTCTGTGGATCCTAAATTCTGCTGCCTAGTACCTTTCTAAATTCTGTTTCCAATGCCTGCTTCTGAAAGTTTTGCTATTTCCAGATTTTATTGTTCGGTGTGTCACTAAGTTCTAAAAATTCTGCCACATCAGCTTTGTAACCGGGCTTTACCATATATACTTCATATTTCTTCTGAATGTTCATATTACTAAAGAAATAAAATTAACTACTTTTTCTATACATTCTAAATGCATTTAGTGTTTTTTAGAATAACGGAAATCCTTAGTTAGATTCAAAAATTTTAAAATGAAAAGGAAACATGTTGAAGAAAGAAACTGAGTACATAAAGAAAATTACTCTTCAAAAATATGTGCAGTTGTTATTACCATAATTTCCGGAAGAAACGCCGCGGCGTTTACGTGTTTAAAACTTAAATTTTCAGCAGGTGCGATGTTTCTACCCATGCGGCGTTTAGGTACACTAAAAATAAAATATTTCCTATGATGGTCATTGTACATAGTTTGGATGGCCTTGTCATTGTGCATAGACTAGTGCTGTTCCCTCACAAAAGACCACTCAGTTGCTTTTTGCGAACGTTATTTTGTTTACATTCTTTCCCTTGAACGGACCTACATGCCTTATTCACCCTAAAGGAGATCTCAGAACAATAACATTCTTCCCCCTTTCAAATCAACATTCTCATCAGTTCGAATAGTTTCTCTCCTCTGCCATTCGATGAATCTTCCAGGACCCATCCTCTCCCCATCCCTGCCTTTTCTGCAATTTAAAAAAATTTGAAAACTAAGGCAGACACAACTACACCTGCCTCGCAATAATCGAACTCTGAGGTATTTCCTCTTCAGCATGAATGGATTTTTCTTGGCATTCTGCCAGATACAGATCCCATCAGTTTGGGTACAAGTACGTGTTAAATAGCTTTTAAGTAAGAAGGGAGCGGAAAATTTTTGAAAATGTCCCTAAACGGCACAGAAGCTATACTGCTGGTTTTAAGCTTAATGTAATTTCACGTGCTGAACAAATTAGAAATCGAGCAGCAGCTTGAGAGTTTGAAGTGGACGACAGATGTATTCGAAGTTGGAGAGCTGAAAAAGAACTTCTTAAAAATATGCCACTACAGAAACGAGCCAAAAGAAGTGGTACTGTAAGGTGGCCAAATCTAGAGGACGACCTTGCAAACTGGATAAAGGAGCAACGAGGAAAAGGGAATGGCAATTTCGACTGTAAAAAATTCGCTTACAAGCAAAATTTATAGCAAAAACGAATGAACATAAATGATTTCAGAGGAGGTGTAGCAGATTTATGAAAAGAAAAAATATTTCTGTGCGTACTAGAACAACAGTCGAGCAACAATTACCAATGGACTGGCAGGATAAAAAGTCATCTTTTCTAAAATATGTGACACCTATTATTGACAAAAAAAAAAAAAAAAAAAAAACTTCTTCGGTCGCAGATAATAAATATGGATGAAACGCCGTTAGCTTTCAACTCTCTTGCAAACATAACTGTTGATGAAACTGGTGCAAAAACTGTATCTATGTTTATGACGGGGCATAAAAGAACGTCATTTACATGTGTGTTAGCTTGTGCCGCAAACAGTGACAAGCTAAAGCCGATGATCGTTTTTAAATGAAGGACTGTTCCAAAGGGAGATGGTATGTCATATATTAGGACTTAGGTTGAGTTTTTGCATCTATACGGCCCACGACGATGTCACGCGCAATTTAATCTATTGCGGCGTTTCTGTGTAATTTAAATTTTTTCCTCGCCATTTTTCTCGAGTGTGGCATTTCTGTGTAATTTTAATTTTTTCCCCGCCATTTTTCTCGAGTGCGCCATTTACGCTGATGCGGCCTTTCTTCCGGAAATTATGGTATGTAACTTACCTGTTGTTTATGATTTCAGCCTTTCACTTTATGATTCAGTCGAGGGTTTGGGGCTATTTAACTTTTACCAGATTAAGTAAACCCTCATAGGTACCTTGTAGAGAGGTTGAAAAGTTAGAAGATAAGCATGCAGAAACAAGCGAAAGCATTGGTTTGCATATTGAGACAAATCTCTAATTGTTAGAAAAGATGCTTAAAGAGAAGGAATTCGATATAAACTAGCCAAAATATTTGGGAAGGCTTCAAATTAAAATGAAGGATAAATATTTTGTTGAGTGTTGTTGTTACAAAACATAAATGTTTTGTAACTATGTTTTGTAACAATAAAAGCTACAAAGCATAAATGTTTTGTAGCTTTTAATGTGTATCCTAAATCATAAATGTACTGTAACAGATACAAAACATACTAAAAAACATAAATGTTTTGTAGTATGTAACAGAAATGTTTAAAAAGCTTAAAATGTTAGTAAACATAAATGTTTAAAAGCTACAAAACCTAAATGTTTTGTAGCTTTTAATGTGTATCCTAATATCGTTTAAGAATCAGTGTCGTAGATTATATATATTTAAACTGTGAAAAAATTTATTAGCTTTTGATTTTAATAGGCTTTTTAAACAAATATTTAAAAATAAAATTAAAAATAGTGGCCATGTAAATCCATTATGACTAAGGTTATCTAATTACCTAATTTAATTATTTATAACTAACTGCTTACCCTTAAAAATTATGTCTACATATTAAAGCAAATTATTGCCTTTCGTTAACACTCACTGTAATCCTAAGATAAAACACAAAAATGTAAAAATTCAAGTAAAACTTATTCTTTGCAACTAGTGAAAATTAAAAATAATACAAAACAACCTATCATCTCTGGTACTTTAATCGTGTATTGGAACATTAAAGTATATTAACTGGGCTACAACCCCTTGGAACTCTAGACAAAGCTATGACACTAACTGCATGAAACAGAGCCTGACTAACTTTCAACACTTCCTAACTGTGTCTACATCAGGCCTTTCAGGTTTGTTCTAATAATATTTTTATGAAATTACACTAACTGGACTCATTAAAATCTTTGTATATTTTTTTCCATTTTATGACAACTATTTTAACTAGCATTTAAAAAAAAAAGTTTTAAAAATTTCCATAAAATGTTATAATGAAGGGGTTGTGATGAAATATAATTTGTTCTCCCTTGAAATGTTTATCATTTAAATTTGTCTTCATTTAAAATAATTGCTATATAGAAGTAAGGTACTAAATGTCTATAAACATTGTTTTCTTTTGATGAATTCTTATTAATTATTTGCAATCCATGTGAAATGTGAACCTGCTAGATCTTTGTTAATGGAAAAAGTTAACGATATCAAATAAAGTCAGTCTGTTTAGGGACATTCATTCTAGCAGACATTTCCCAATAAAAGAAAAAAATCTTGGTCTTGTAAGTGTTCAGTGCAGGAAGTTTCAAATTAAATTTATTACAGTACAAAGTCTTTGATCCGGACTTCAAATATGCATTTACGCATGCGCATGATATGTTTACTCATGCACGTTTAATGTATAAGGACAGTATCAGCTAGCCTAAAAATATCTAATTATCTATTTCAGTTAATGTTGCAGATTGCTTTATTCCTTAATCTTCTAATTGGATCCAGCTTATTATTTTTTTTTTTGCAGGACTGTTTAGAACAAATTTTAGAAAGTAAGCTTGAACTTTTGATTATGTCAAAAAGAGTGTCAGATTCTGGAGCTGTCAAAGGATCTACAAAGCGAAAGCATGTTTCTATGTACCGCTTCCGATAGTGAAGAAAGTCACATAGAGGTTATTGAAAACGAAAAAATTTCGATTGACAAGTTAGTCGGTATTCTCGATACGGCATTACAGGACTTGAACAGTGGAACTGAACAAGAAATTATGTCTGTTTATAGAATTAAAGAGAAAGTATTAGCACAAAAAACGAAGCAATTTAAACAACTTACATTGAAAGAAATGTTTAATAAAATAAACATAAATATAAACCTTTTTTTTTTTTTTTTTTTTTTTTTTTTTTTTTTGTAAATTTTGATACCCTTTAGATCATAATTGCTCTTTATTTCATAAATTATGGTTTTATATTAATTTTATAATTTCTGCCTGCCATCTTACCAGATTTAAATTGATGATCTATAATCCGGAAAAACCCCTAATACGGAATCGCCGAAGTTTGACAAGTCCGGATTAAAGACTTTGTACTGTATATGTGTTTTTATGTGATATAGAATGTTTTGTATTAGCTGATTTTTAATCCAAGTTCTTTTGGTTTAATATATTTATTTCCCCCTAACATTATATACATTTGACACATCTATTTAACTGGAATGTGAAGCAGCTATTTCTCTACTTAACAGCCGAGTATGCCACAGAAAATAACGTAAGTTTTATTGTTGCTTTCCTCTCCCTTCTATCAGCAAGCCGTATTTTGAATCTCTCAAATTTTGTGTAGTTTTTTATTTTAATTATAACTTAAGAATGATAGGAAAAAGAACTGCAGTTTTGTTTTAGGAAAGTTGAAGCTAAATTTGGCAAAATTTTAGATGTATTATTTTTAAACAATGTAAAAAAGTGTTTCAATAATAGACTTGAAGTCAATAAAGTGAGTAATCAAGAGTTCTAAGTTATCAGAGTGTGATAGCATTGAAAATGTAAATCATGCCACATTCAGAATGTAGAATGGAGAAAAGGTTATGAGCAAAAATTTGATTATCTGCATAGTAGCATGTAGGCTTTCATTGATCATAATTGTCATTTATATGAGAACATGAGTGTAACACTTGTAAAGTAGATCATTGCTTTGTTAATTGAAATGATGATTGATTCAAAACTAATTAGGAAACTGTACGTCATCAGTTTGACATGTACAATGTACCTGCATATAAAAAAGTTCATAGTAAAAGGTTTTTATAAGAATATATATAAAATATAAATTTCATATTGCAGATTTATTAAAAAGGTTGATTGATAGTCTTAATTCAGGTTACAGTTTTTTTATTATTCTTTTGATACATTTAAAAACAAATTTAACTTCATGAAATACTTTAGAATATTTTAAAATTTATTAGTTGTTTGTAAAAATAAAAATCCTCTACATAAAGAACTTTTTCCAAAAATATGTGATGATTTAGACATGATATCCAAGATTTGAGTATTTCTTCTCACTTTATACAAAAATGCATAAAAATTATCTTACTTTGTAATGATCTTGATGCATTAGATAAATCAATACAGAAAGCTAAAATGGTTGCATAAGCTGCATCAGTTGCATTGACTTGTTAACCACTTGCGCTATGACTAAACTTCACAGTTTCGGTGTCGTGCGCTACAATGTAACAAGCGGTAAAGGGTCTCATTTATGCCGCTCTGCGTCTGCGAGTGCAATCCAGACCTGCAACTCGAGAAATAAACAATCTCGTTGTTAGGCAACGTGTGCACCATGCTATTTTCATTTTTGCATGCAGTTTGAGAGAAAAGCATCTCTACATGTGTCGCGCGTCTTTTTAGCGCAAGTGGTTAATAATCATTTTGAATAATACCTGAAACTGAAAAATTAAAAGTGTTCATAATCTTCTTTGATTCTTGTATTTATTCTTCTATTCATGTCAAATAAAAACAAATATTTATTGGGTTTCAAATATTTTTATTTGTAGAGCTTCTTTAACCCTCTTAGTGTGACGTTTTTTTTTTTTTTTTTTTTTTTTTTTTTCTCTGAAATTTAAAATTTTCCCCAAAATGTCATGAATAAATAGTATTTTCTTGATTATAATTTTAAAACAATCCTTTAACTTTGTATCTTAACTCCTTTTCTTCTAAAATTGGATACATTAGGATCTGAAAAAAATTTTCATTGATAATGAATTGGGAAACGATCCTTTGGAATTTTACATCCATAATGCTTTTAGAGGCTTAAATTCTTGGTATGTAATATTCTAGCAACCAAAAATATAATTCATGCAAGATTTTTCTTTCTTTTGTATTTAACAAAAAGTAAGTGGAAATCTTCTTATAACATCCTTTGTTTGCTAATTTATAAGTTTTCATAAAATAAATAACATTCCTTTATTGTTTGCTTTTTTTTCCTCATTATAAAACATTATATTTGATAGGATTTCTGGCATTTTGCTTTGATAATATCTCATGTTTATTTGAATAAAAACAATTTTAAGCTATTGTATTTCATGTAATGTTATATCATTAACATGTTTTCTGTTTAATTTCTCAAAATTATTCTGTATTCCATAAATTATTTAATTTTGGAAAAAAAATCAACAGCATATAGTCCCCTCACCAACACCATGAACTTTTTTTTGTTTGTTTGTTTGTTTCAATCTTTCAAAATAGCATTTTCAGCAAGACTTCCAAAAATATAAACAAATGAAATAAAATAGCTAAACAGCATCATTACTTTCAGTAAAAAGAAAACTTGGCAGAAAAGTTGATTTAAGAATCCTAACCACTTGCGCTACGACTAAACTTCACAGTTGCGGTGCCATGTGCTACAATATAACAAGCGGTAAAGTGTCTCATTTACGCCACTCCGCGTCTGCGAGTGCAATCCAGAGCTATAACTCGCGAAATGAACAATCTCATTGTTAGGCAACATATGCACCACGTTATTTTCATTTTTGCGATAAATGCCTATCGTCTTTTTAGTGCAAGTGGTTAAAAATTGGGTACTTGTCAAAAATAGTCTTGATGCCTGATTCCTAAAATAATTGCATTTAAGCAGCTTGCAAAATTTTGAAAAAGGAAAATATTTAAAAATTTTTAATGGGTTTTTAATTGTTAAAAATGATGATGTGTGTGAAAGTTAAAATCATCTGTATTTATGAAAGTAGCTGGTTAGGTAGTTTTTCTTTGTTGAAAAGTTATTGTTAACAAAGACATTAGCGTTTGTAATGCCAGTAATTGAAAATTGCTTTATTTCATAGATATCTGCGTACCTGATATTTTGTAATTATTTCAGATTTGTATTGTTTATTTAGGTTATTAACCAAGTGGTTCTTTGGGATAAAATCATAAAGCGTTCTGAAAATGCAACTCTTGATTATAAAAAAATAAATACAAAGTATTATTTCTATGATGATGGTAATGGCTTAAGGTAATGTATTTAAAAGCATTTTTCTTCATTTCATTGCAGTAATGGATACTTTTGTCATCAGGACTAGATTCAGAAATGTTTGTTTATGTATACAGATGCATATGTAAATGCATATATATATATATATATATACATTTCTGAATCTGGTCCGAATAACAGGAAAGTACCCAGAAATGTTCAATAAATTTTGCTTGTTATATATTAAAAAACTGCAGCATTTCTACAAATTCTATATAAACTATACATGTTTGTATCTTATTTGTACCCTTTTAAAATTTATTATTCATTAGTCTAAATTTAAAACAAATAGTATATAAAATATAAAACATTGATTTAATTAAAATATAATATCTCAATCTCAGAATCTCGCATCATCACTGCGTTACACCTTCCATCGAGTAACTGCACACTCAATGGTGCCCTCTAGCGAGGTCTTACCATTCTCCCCGCTTAAACTCCCATGGAGTTTACATTTCAATTTTCAGATATTGAGATAAGTCACTAAAATTACACTAAATTAAATATTAAATTGGTAAATTATTAAAAAATATAAAATAAAAGTTTTTCAAGTTCATTCAGTCTTTAAGTGGTAATGGGATAACTTTGTTGATGGCTCATTGAAGAGCACCTGTAGAGGTCTTGACTTCAACTACTCTGACTCGACCATCAGTATCAGGATACACTTGTTGGATGTGAAATGCTCCATTTGGCACAATTCTGTACCGGTTCCAAAATTTAGCTTGGAGTCTCTGAACTAGCTCCCACCTGAAATGAAAAAAAAAAAAAAAAAAAAAAAAGAGAATCCAAAGCAGTATGTGGTTCAGGAAAGGATAACATAGCATTTCCTGTCAAAAAATGTCCCAGAGTTAAAGGCTGTAAGTCATTCGGATTGGGAGAACGCGGTGATAATGGGCGGGAATTCAGAACTGCTTCTATCTGATTAACTAAAGTAGTTAACTCTTCCAAATTCACGATAGCTGATTTTGCTACCCTTAACAAAATCCGTTTCTCTGATTTTATGTTTGCTTCCCACAGTCCGCCAAAATGAGGAGAAGCTGGTCGGATAAATTTCCATTGGATGCCTTCTTCTGCATTAAATCCCTGAATTGGGCTAGATTTGCAAATTTCATTATATGCGTTAAGAATATTTCTCGCACCTCTGAAATTCTGTGGCGTTATCGCTCCAGATAACGGCTGGTTTGGATCATTCTGGCAATAAATCTTCGTAAACAGGCTAGAAAAGCATCTATTGTTAACTCAGAAACAACTTCTAAATGCACTGCCTTGGTGCAAAAACAGATGAATAACGCAATATAAAACTTGAAAGTCACCTTTGACCTTTTCAAATTAGGTTTCGTGATTATAGGTCCTGCGAAATCCAATCCGACCTTCTCGAAAGGCTAGAAGGTCCTAGGTAGGCTCCTCTGTCCCTAGGTAGATTACCCATCATCTGGCTTACCATTTGATTCTTCGTTCTAAAGCAAGTGATGCATTTATTTATTACTCCTAACTCGATCTTGACCAGACTGTATCCAATATGACTGTCTTATTAAAGATAATGTAGTCTGTACACCAGAATGCAAGGATTTTCTATGATAATATTCAATAACTAAATTAGTGAAATGATGAGCCTTTGGCAAGAGTATCTGATGTTCCTGAAATTTAGAAAACTCAGAATACTCCAATCTTCCTCCTACTCTCAGTACCTCATTTTTGTCAAGAAATGCATTCAGAGATGATATTTTACTATTTTTTGGAATAGATTGTCCATTTTTTAAGCACATTATTTCCCTTCGAAATTCAGTTGATTGTACGAGTTTTACTAAAACTTCAGAAGCACATATGAAGTCTGTTCTTAACTCTGGGTTCACTTTACAGTTATTTATAAATCTCAAACATAAAGCAGTTATCCTAATTAATTTACTGAATGAGGAGTATTTTGTAATCAAATCGTTTTCAATTTGGCTCTTTTCAACAGTTGCATTTACAACAACTGACTTCTTAAACTCTAACTTATCGACATCTACTTTGGTTCTTCCATGATTCTAAGGAGGATGGCCATGCTGTTTATTCATTGCCAACCAACAGGGTCCATTCCACCAGAGCTGATTGTTCTTGAGCTCGCTTAAGGATAAACCCCTAGAAATCAAATCGGCAGGATTATTCTTTCCTATACAATGATGCCATTCTTCTGGGTTGCTGTACCTTTGTATTTCTTTTAGTCTATTCTTCATGAACACCTTATGTCTATTTGGATCACCTTTGATCCAGTAATAAGCTATTGAGGAATCTGTCCAAAAATATTGAGTAACTGGAAAACTTAACGCAGTTACGATTTTATTGCTCAATCTTGAAGACAAAAGTGCACCCATGAGTTCCAATCTAGGAATCGAAAAGGTTTTTAACGGAGCCACCCTGCCCTTTGATGCTACAAACCTAGAAATGATTTTTCCACTCTTTAATTCTATGCGTAAGTACGCAACAGTGTACCATAAGCTTTCTTAGATGCATCTGAAAAACAGTGTAATTGGTATTGTGATTGCATGACTGGGCAAAGAATTTTGAAAATAATATCGGGGAATAATTATTTCCTTTACATCTTGGACCTCATTCACACCATTTATTCCAAGAAATTTCTAACTGTTTGGGCAATTTTTCATCCCAGTCTAATCCTAAACACCAAATTTCCTGCATCAAGCACTTAGCTCTAATAGTATATGGTCCTATAAAACCTACTGGATCGAAAAGTCGACTTATCACGTGTAGTAAGTGTCTTTTTGTGTTAGTTCTTTTTAAAAGAAATGTTTCCAGATCGAAATAAAACATATCAGTTTGTTCATCCCAACCAATTCCCAATACTTTTGAAGCTATCAATTTTGTATCTAGAGGCTCTTCACCCTGGTCTACATTGAAGTTTAAATTCTTGACTTAGCTCATTAGAATTGGTTCTCCACTTTCGAAGGTTCATGCTTGCCTTATTTAGAATGTCTACACTCTCTTTACAAGCCTTTAGAGCCTGTTGAACAATGATTTGCGCACAAATAAAATCGTCGACGTACAATGATTCATTAAGATGTTTAGAAGTCAGAGGAAATATATCTACATACCTTTTCAAGAGATGTTTGATTGTGGCTGCTAGGAGGAACAGGCTAGATTTCACCCCAAATAACACCCTTGTCATCCAATTTCTTGTTTTCATTATCAGTTTCTGGATCTTCTTCCCAGAGGAATCTGGTGTAGTTTCGTTCACTTTCATCTATTTTGATTTGGAGAAAGGCCATCTTAGTATCTGCAACAAATGCTATCAGATTCATTCTAAATCTGATCAAAAGAAGAAATAGGTTAGGCATAAAGATAAGTCCCATGTATAAGCAATCATTCAAAGATAATTGACCTTTTTCATGCGCTGAAGCATCAAACACAATGTGTAATTTGCTTGTAGTCTTATCCGTATGAGGTAGATAAAATGTATTTTGGTGTAAATTTACTTCATTAACTGGGACAGGTTCAATAATAATCTCCGAAATATAGTTCTTTAGAACACTGTTATATTCACAAAATAAGGAAGGGTCATTTTTAAAAGATGATTTCAAACTCAAAAATCTTTTCATTGCTATCTGCTCGTTATTTTCTAATAATGTCTTCATATATGGTTTCCAGGGCAAATTCACTTTGTATCGCTTATTTTGATATGTAATTCCGGATTCAAATTCACTCATTATATCTTTCTCAGTGGGTTCTATGTCAGTTACTTCTGCCTCAATACCCAAATTCTCTAAATCCCAAAATTCCTTGAGTTGATCGGAAATATTGGATTCGTTTACCATAACACTCATTGCAAACATTTCATTTAAGTTCGTGTTTTGGCCTTGCAAACACCACCCAAATATTGTTTCAACTGTAACCAGAGTTTTGTTTAGGCATGTAATTCGACCAGTGACAATATCATAATAATAATCTGCACCTATTAGTATTGATATTTCTTTATTGTTAAATTCATAACAGTCTGCTAGTTGTACATTTTTTAAACGTCAAATTGTTTCTCAATATTTTTATCGGGAGTCAGTAAATGTGTGCCTGAAATATGTTCTGTCTCCTGTGCTTCAATTTCTGTGCATAAATTTGGATCATCTCTATTCTTTAATTTAATTTTAACTACATTAAATGATTTTGTTTTCGTTTCCTTAGCACCAAATGTGCAAATGGAAAGGCTTTTCTTTCTAACAACTGGAAAGTTAAACCTTTTGGAAATGGCTGATAAAACAAAGGAGTAGTGTGAACCATTGTCCAGGAAAATTCTAACAATTTTTTTGCTCTTTTCCATTATCAGTTAAGTTTGAACATGTTTGTAACATAGTATTCTTTTTTGACGATACGATATTCACAGATACGACATTATCGGTTTCTCCTTTTGGAGAAATAATGTGTGGATTATTTTGATTTCAAAAATAAATTGAAACATGGTGAGGTTTATTGCAGATAGGACACAGTTCCTTTTTCAAGCATTCTTTCATGTGATGGTTTGGGGTCAAACAACGAAAACCATTGATCTCGCTGCTTCAATATATCTCTCCGTTCATTTGCATTAAATGAAGAGCAAGATTCTGATTTATGACCTTTGCTTACAAAATAGACAGATTACATCTTCGACTGCCGCCAGAAATTCATGCGTGTGTGGGGAGGGGAAAGAATTCTCCCTCTTATGCGAAAGTCTTGAAGAATTATGTCTTAATGGAAGTAGAATTTTTATTTTTTATTTTTTCTTGGGAGGAACATAAGTGCACTCGTTGATTCGATGATTTATAATTATTTATTGGAAAGGATCTCTCATGGCTTTATTATTTCTTTATTAAAAAAGGAAAATGACTTTTATTGCAAAATATATTACATACATACATATTCAATGGTTCAACTATATATTTATTCCAAACGACAACCAGTCAACCTAGTTATAAACAGGTTTTTTGCTTTTGTTGTGGTGGAAATTTCATAGCAGTCGCTTTGAAAAAGAATTCGAAGCATTATTTCTTTAGCAATTTTGAGGCAACATAATCTATTCCTCCAGAAATTTCAACTTTCTTCTATTACAGAAAAATCTGTAATTTATTTCTTTAATAATTTCTTTATTAATTTAATTTCTTTATTAAGGAATTGCAAAAAAGTTTTTAAGTCATATTCTTTGTCGCCTTGAATGCTATTAAATTCTAAAATGAATTCTGAAGGAATTAATTTAATTAAAATTGGTGTCAATAGATTTGCATATGATTCACCTGTAATTTCTAAAGAATCTAGGCTTATGATTTGCGTTTCCGCATTATCATATCAATTTCGTAAACTTATAACATCGTTAGGATTTTTAACCGGAGCTAAATTCAGCAAGACACTCAAATGAGTGTTAGTCAAAATGTTTTTATTTCCGAATCTTTCTTTCAATAAATCAAGAGCTTTATCATAATTTTCATCACTTAAAGCAAATCCACTAATACATGCTGCCGCGGTACCACCGAGATAGGACTTCAAATAATTAAATTTATCAACTTTGCTTCAATTTAGGATTATTATGAACAGAGCTTTCAAATAAATTGTAAAAGTCTAACCACCAGAATATTACCATAATATTTACTAATAGTTATTTAGGCAATTTTATATTATATTTTCAGTTTCATTATTAATCAACTGAATGTTTTATGAAACTGTATCAACTTGGATAGAATCAGAATTCATTTTTATTTTAGGATGAAGTTTCGATTTCAAAAAAATTATTTTTTCTTTGATTTCTTCTGAAACTTCTATATCTTCAGGTATTGTCTCGATGCTCAAAAGATTTTCAATTTCATCATTTAAAGAATTTTCTTTTCTGATTAATTGTTCGAAGAATGCTTCTAACTGATCAACTGTTTCGTTTTCGTTGTTAGTAGCAACTTCTATTTTGTTAATTAATTTTGTCAACATCGAAGGCACGGAAGTGCGTTTCTTCCTCAACTTTGACAGATTTTCAGCCATATTTAATTTCTATCCAGGTATAATTCAGTTTTCAATAATTCGATAAAGATTCTCTTACCTGGTTCGGCGTAGATGCACCAAATGCGCATCAGTGGTTTGAAGATTCAGTAGTAATCCAAGTTTCTCGAATATATGTGGTGGTTCAGCAAAACATAATATCACATCAAATATGAATAAATCAACATCAATAATCACCAATCAATAAAATATAAATTGATTTAATTAAATGTAATAATATCTCGATCTCAGAATCTCGCATCATCACTGCGTCACACCTTCCATTGAGTAACTGCACCCTCAATGGCGTTCCGAGCGCCCTCTTGCGTTATGCAGGTCTTACCAATGACAAATATTCAATTTCCAAGGTAGCCATTTTATAAGCACTGTATCTTTCTATTCAAAGTTGAACAGCTTTCATAGAAAAATTGATTATATTTTGTTTTAAATTTCATTTTAAAATTTATGCTTGTAGGATTTTTCTGTAATAGAAGAAAGTTGAAATTTCTGGAGGAATAGATTATGTTGCCTCAAAATTGCTAAAGAAATAATGCTTCGAATTCTTTTTCAAAGCGATTGCTATGAAATTTCCACACAACAAAAGCAAAAACCTGTTTATAACTAGGTTGACTGGTTGTCGTTTGGAATAAATATATAGTTGAACCATAGAATATGTATGTATGTAATATATTTTGCAATAAAAGTCATTTTCCTTTTTCTTTCGTAAAATGTGCCAAGGTGGTTGCAATAATATATAAGTACCAAGAATTTTTTTTTATTAGAATAACTTTTTTCACTTTCTGAAATTTAACACTAAAAATGGATTTATATTTCAGTACAACTAAATTTTATATTTGCAGTTCTTTATTTATCAATTTCAAATAATTATTTAAACATGCAGTTTTAATACAGCAGAATTATGATAATTTGTGGCTACTTAATCTGTGTTCATTTTTTGGATATGTAAACAAACCAAATATATATTTTCTTAACAATTTGCCTTTTATATGAGAGTGTAAAAAGTATTTTTAAAATAATTTCGTGGATGGCTGTGTGTGTGCTTGCAAACTTTTTTTTGTACACAAAAGTATTTAAAAGTAAGAAGTTGTATTTAACCACTTCACCTTTTGCCCCAAGACGGATTCACTGATTTCAATTTTTCATCGATCGTCGGTTACTAGCTTTGAAAAATCTTAATAGTTCAAATGATATCAAAAGCCCAATGGGAGTCTTAAATACCCAAATAATTGTGTAAAATATATAGATAGATACAGTCAAAAGTCGTTAATCCGGACTCGTCGGGACTTCGGCGATTCCGGATTATCGATTTTTCCGGATTATAGATCATCAGTTTAAATCTGGTAAAATGGCATGCAGAAATTATAAAATTAAAAATATGAAACATAATTTAATGAAATAAAGAACAATTATGATCTAAAGGGTATCAAAATTTACAAAAAAAAAAAAAAGCTTAATATTTATTTGTTTACTTTATTAAACATTTCTTTCAATGTAAGTTGTTTTTAAGTTGCTTCGTTTTTTATGTGATAATACATTCTCTTTAATTCTATAAACAGACATAATTTCTTGTTCAGTTACAAAGTTCCGCTGTTCAAGTCCTATAATTGCTGTGTCGAGAATACCGACTAATTTGTCAATGGAAATTTTTTTCGTTTTCAATAACCTCTGTCACTTTCTTCGCTATCGGAAGCGAATTATAATGATGAGGAATTTGATTTAAATCATATCAAAGAAATACTACGATGAAATACTACATTTAGTAATTATAAGCCAAATAAAATAAAAACATCTGCCCTGAAGATAAGGATAGTGCTGACAGATCAACTTCCAATTCATTGCCAAGCGGCTGCAGGAGTTAAAGATAAACAAACGTTAAATGGTTTAGATAAACAAAGGATATGCCTTTATCCATTTTTGCAGCAATTCCACTTTTTGTTTAATGGACTTCGAAAAGATACTTTCACTTTGTATATCCTTTACATATTAGTAAATATATATCGGAAATTCTATTTGACATAATCGAAAGTTTAAGCTTACTTTTATAAAATTGCTCTAACAGTCTGCAAAAAATAATAATCTGGATCCAATTCGAAGATTAAGAGATTAAGGAACAACGCAATCTGCAACATTAACTGAAATAGATAATTAGATAATTTTAGCTTAGCTTATCCCGTCCGTTATACATTAAACGCGCATTCGTAAACGTATTTTGCGCACACGCAAATTCGCAGCGGTAAAGGTCTTACGCGCATGCGTCAATGTGGATTATGGGTGTCCGAATTAACGACTTTTGACTGTATATGTTGTATTAGGATTCAAAGCTACTGACAACACTTTTAAAACGAACATATCTCTCTGAGGGCAAATGGTGATGTATTGATTAGAATTCAACTGTCATGTCATCTGGAATTTGTAAACGATGTCAGTATAGAATTGGGAAATGTATTCAAACTTAAGTTTTTACAGTTTTAATTCTTTAAATTTAGAGTTTTTGTTTCCTTTTGTTAAATTCTTTTGAAATAGTTTAATTAGAGCTGTGGAGTTTAATTAAGTTTAATTAGAGCTGTGAAATAGTTTAATTAGAGCTGTTAGTTTTGTATATAACAAGATTAACTTGTCTGTTTTCTTCACAGAGGAAATAAAAATGTGACCCTTTATTTATCCTGGAACATTATACCAAATGCTGGCAGTTTGCCAAATATCAATGGTGATGGAAGTCATGTTTTCACTTTTCCAGAAGAGTACACGACTTCAAGATTATAGAACTGTGAAAGATTTGTGACTCTTAATTTAATAAATTTTCACATTGTATAACCTTCAATTTGCAGTTGTGTTATACAGGTGCAGTTATTCCTGTTACGGTGATATTTTAAAATTTGTATGCCTGTTTGTAATTACATCACATTTCTTAATTATATCTTTTTCAAGACTACTTAAATGCCTTCAAACATTTCATAAATTTTATTCACATTAGTCAAAATTGTTTTGATCTTTTCTACCATTTGGATAAAATATGGGTTTTAATACAATTTGTATTTGATTCTAAAATTAAAATCAACTTTTTTGTCTTGTTATCAGAAATGTGTATTAGAAATCAGTTGCTAATCATGTTATTAAAATATTCCATATAATAGGTTACTGTTTAAAATTGCACTTAATCTCAATGTTAAATAACCACTATATTGTCCTTAAAAAGATTCACCATGAAGGCATCCTTATTCCTAAGCAGATAGCCCTTGATCATAATCTAGTCTAATCCATCGGATTGCCAAGTGACTTTTTGGTTCACCATAGCTATAATTGAATATTATATATATATATATAAACAAATGAAATATTTTGGTATTTCAACTCAAAATTGCTGCTAAGGATAGTAAAAAAATGTCCTCTGCTTGTGGCTTCATAATGCATAGTAGCCCAATACTTGTAAATCAAAGATTAAAAATCTTGCTTGTGGGTAATATGCCTACCTACCCACACTGCGAGTGAAAAACTAACTCACCATGAATCAGAACAGCGCTGTAGCAGCTTGAGTTATCATGCTGCAGATCTAAATTGGAGAGATTTAAACTCGTTTAATTTGCATTTCCTTGGTGGATTGAATGAAACAGTGAAGGAAAGATTCAACACAAGAAATACATGTAATTATATTGCAAGGAATTATTACTAAATCGATGTAAATTAAATAAGTTAAATCCAGAATTTGCTATTACTAAAACATCCAAAACATGGCAGTTTAGTTATTGTTTAGCCAAGAGAGTTCTTATTTAAATTCCCAATTTTCCCTGCGTAATTCACGTAAAAACACTTTTTATGTTCAGTGTTTTTTTAAAGGGGAGATATTCTATATATCATTGAAGATTTTAATAACTTATTTTGTTTGTCAATTTTAACAAGTTATTTTTCCTCACTTCATTTGGTAAGTAAAAATATATTTTAGATTGTGCGAGTTCTTTTTCTGTTGTGCCTTGCAGGGAAAGGGATACCATTACTATTAGACATTGTAGATTTTAATAATTTTTTCTGTAGAATACTGAAATTTTACCAGAAGTATATTAGCATTTAATCTTTTCACACAGTTGTGCTGTGCAAGGAAGTTATCTGAAGTAGAGTACTTAAAAGTGTTTGCATGTCTTTATAACTGGTTGATTGTTTTTGTTGTATTTATTGTGTTAAAAAAATCTCATATATCTTCTAATAGGTTAAAATTTAAAATCATAAACTAATTGTACCATTAACAAAAATTTGTAATAGACAAATGAGAGAAATTAGTTTATCATTCTTTGCTAGAAATGCAGGTTCTGTATCTCAAAAAAGTCTGAGAAAAAGTGAAATCTTGTTTTGTAACATTCAATATTTTAACCATCATCACCAAACCCCAACACGTTTCATTCCAAAAGCTGTAAAAGTAAGCAAAGAATTTAATAACTTGTACTATACTTCCAACCTGATTTTAAAGTTGGTGGTTGTAGTAATTGCTGCTGGACTAATTATTAATTATTGCCCATTGATTTTGCACATGTTTGAGTAATTTCAATTAAATGCAGTTCTGTTTTATTTATGGGGTCAGTTGATTTTTTTTTTTTTTTTAATACAAAAGAAATAGTTCAAAATCGTAAGAAACTTTCTTTGTATCACATAAATACCATTTTATTCTATGACATTTTGCCATCTGTCTGATGGTCTTTTTTGAAGAGACATTAGGTTATTTATAAAGAAATTTTCAACATGCTGTTTAATGATCTTCAAAGAAAATTTTCAACATGCTGTTTAATGATCTCCAAAGAAAATTTTCAACATGCTGTTTAATGATCTCCAAAGAAATTAATTTCAGCTCACTCAGAGAATTTTGAAATAACCTAAAGAGATGAAAAGCCATACTCAATAAATTTTTGTTAGGTTGACTGCTAGTATAGTCATGCGTATATATGCGCATATACGCTGTTAACAATTGATGGGCACTTAGGCTACTGATTTCGGTAGTTTGCATATAAAGTCAGACGCGTATGAAAATGTTGGTACACAAGATATTGTGATGGACGGTCTTTTCCCCACCCCTGATGTTACTGAAGATATGGCGTAGTGCCTAAAACTGAAAAAACATGAGTTTTAAAAGTTTGTTTAGCAGTATTTATAGATTCATTTGATGCTTTATAGCTGAGCATTATGTACTCTTTTTCAAATTATTCGAAAAACAAGATCGATATCAAGTTCATTTGCTGTTTCCTTTGGAAAGCTAATAATGTTTTCAAAATGTTAACCAGTTTTTCAAGTCTACATATTTTTTATAAGATATAGATTTTCTGCAGTAGTTTGTATATTGAATGTCAGGTTTTGCATCATTTTGCTTAACAACATTTATAGTACTTAAAGTATCTTGCCAAATATTAAACAAATTCTGAGATTGAATTATCTATTTGAGATCTAGAATCATTATCTGTGTAAATATCTTACATAAAAGTAGCATATTAACATTTGTCATACATATCGTGTAAATACGAAATATTGATATTCAGTAATTGCAAATGATGTAAAATAAATTCAGGCAGTCCCTGTTTTATGGTATCATGTATGGATTCAAAATCCTAAGAAAATGCTCCTAAACTTTTGCAGTGTTTGTGATTTTAACATGATAATCAAATCTAAAAACAATATTGTTGTTTTGCATCACTCATTTCCAGAGTTTATGAAGATTTAATAATATTTAAAGTTTTCATTCATTTCTTAATTTTCATCTGAATGTTTTGTTTTAAAACAAAAATTATGCAATTAATTTAATTTGAATTATATGACCTAAATAATTAACAACACCTGTATATATATATATATGTGTGTGTGTGATGTTGGTTGTGAATATTCTGTCAGTGTAGAGTGAAATTTTGTGACAGTTTCTACTAATTTAAAAAACTTACCCTTATCTTTATCAAATTCTTTGATATTTGAAAAGGTAGATACTGTTTTGACAAATACTGTATCATGTAAATTAACTGCTGTATAACTGATCGTCCCCTCCCTTTTTTTTTTTTTTCTTTCTTTTTTCTTCTCCTCAGCTCCATATAATAATTGCTAAACTGAGTCAATCAGACATTTATTTCTTAACTGTGTTTTATATTCACGATATGTTGAGCTGTTTTTTAATGTGTGCTAAAGTTGTTTTAAATAACTTAAATATATATGGTTATTAAAGCTGCACTGATTAGTAGTTTACATATTTAAATCATGAAGTACTTTGTAACAACAACAAAAACTCAAATTTCAGGCTCTGAATGAATTAACTTGTGATAATTTTTGCCCAATTCTGTGTAACATTCCATATTAATTTTCCAAAGACTTGTGACCAGATTCATCTTAAAAAATTCCTTATTACCTGTTTGTTAAGGACGGTTTTCAACCAGTCTCTTACTTTCATGGTTATAAGTTTCACCTAAGTTCTTGAATTATTAATATTAAAATTTAAAATAAAATTCGAAGTTTCATGTTTCTCTAAACTGGAATCCAAGGCTTTTTTCGAGTGCAACTTCCAGTGACATTATGGTGGGCTAATTGCATCTTCATTAGATACTAGATTAGTATCTCCAGATTTATCTTGTTGTGCTCTTCGTTTTTTAGTGTCCTCTTTTTAAGGAGAGATACCCGAATAACTTGCTATCTCGAAAAACCTTAACAAACTTTCTAGTGCAATAGTAAAATAGGAATCCTTTTATATTTTAATTTTTCTTCTTTGTAGCTGTGTGGGTTACAACAATTATACAACTTATTTTTGTATTTTGGAACAGATAGATGCTTTGAATATCCCCCCCATTTTAATCACCAAAAGAAATTTTAGATACAAACTACAAAACACCTATTTAAACAATGAAATTGATTAAATAACAATTTAAGATGCAATTAGAAATAACTAAAATGTAAAACTGACTAAACCGTGGCTGTTGAAAAAATTTTTGAAGTTGATAATTAGCCATTTTTTATGCTACAGTGTGATTAAAAAATATCTGGCCAAATTTCAAAGGCAGGTAGTTGAAACTGAAGCAAGCAGATTATGTAATGGAATATGTGTGCAGAATTGCCATGCCAACTCAAAAACTCATGGCTGAACTGGTCAACTGGGGTCACCACTCTGGGTGATCAGAGACCACCATGATGTGCGGCTCTATTAGCCTAAAGATTTGACTGGCCGTCAAAGTGCCCCCGCCAGTACTACGCAGGCAGCCCCAGACACACAATACGATGTTAAATAATTGACTGGCCATTGCACTGCTACTTAGACCGTGGGATTACATGGAATTCGGGTCAAATGTGGCCATGCCTGCTACAGAGACCACCAGACTGGGGACTTACAGCCAGTCCTCCCTCAATCTAACCATATACAATGATCTTCCCTCAGGTTCTGAACCACCAGGCTTGTAACTACGTAGGTTGGGGCAAAAGTCATGGCGACTATTTTTTTTCTAGAAGATACCAGTCCGGTTGGAAAATGTGACATATACAGATGAAAGGACAAGGTCTTAACTACATGTGTGAACAATGAATAGCACTGAAATATCATAACACACGAACTTATTGCGGTAGTATACAGGGCAATATGGCCTTCACCATGTAAAAAAATAACACAATACACATAAAGTTGACATGAGTCCCTGTAGTACCATGCGGTCACTGTTCTGCCATGAGGAACAAAGTGGCAAACAATGACACCCCTGACGTCATATGCGATGATCACCATCAATTTGACTGGAAAAGGATTCTGACGGACCTTCTGCTGCCTTGGTGATCCAGGATGTCGCCACTCCCGGACTGACATTTCAGTTCTGGTTTGTATGCCCTGGTTCAAAATTCATCGATAGCGATTTCGTGAAAAGAATTGATCACCGTCCTGTTGCCAGCGTGCAAAGTGGTCGGAACATATTGCGTAGCACACCCACTTTTGAACTTCCGTCAGTGCATGTGGTACCCACCACGAAGCGATTTTGCGTAGCTGTAGCTCATTACACAATATCCTATGGACGGTGTGTTTCTCGATTCCACTTACCCTTTCTAACTCCAAGTAACATTCATCGTCTGTCTTCATCCATGAGGTGCTCAATGACAGCACACTCACCAGTCATCCCGAACGTTGCTCATTACTGGTTGA